ATATATACTATATGTATGCCTACATTAACATATAGACACACTGTGGTCGACTATTTCCATTGTATTTATGTTTCAGTGGCCAAATAGAAGACGATCTAAAATCTGACTGAATGGAATGGATGGATTTCAAAGAAACTGAATGCAGTACATCTCTAAACTCTGTTAATTTTCCCCCACCCCCACCCTTTCCCTCAAATACACCCACTCTCACCTTCTCCCACCACCAGCATTGATGTATGCTAGTATCTTTGGGAACGTGTCGGCCATCATCCAGAGGCTGTACTCGGGAACAGCTCGCTACCACACCCAAATGTTAAGAGTGAGGGAGTTCATCCGTTTCCATCAGATCCCCAACCCTCTCAGGCAAAGGCTGGAGGAGTACTTTCAGCACGCCTGGTCCTACACCAACGGTATTGACATGAATGCTGTAAGTAATGACCCACATACACAATTATTATGTGTGTGTGTGTTTGTGTGTGTGTGTGGGGGTGGGGGGGTGTGCATGCACAAAATTTTCTAATATTAATAATATATGAATGTTGATCACTTCTCACTTGAGAATGTTGATCACTTCTCACTTGAGAACAAATGAAGCTATATGTATTAATGCTTCATTTGTTCTCAAGTGAGAATGTTGATCACTTCTCACTTGAGAACAAATGAAGCATTAATACATATAGCTTTTTCTAACGGACCCTTAAAGGAAGTGGTATAAATGAGAGTCATTGCAAGCACATACTCTGACCAATAAGTGACTTTTCTAGATATTTTTTATTGTTGCCGTTAGTTATTGCAGTCATCTTTGCTTGAGAGTTGGCTAAATATCTCATGAAACACTGGATGGATTTAAATAAAACATTTAGTATGTAAGTAATACGTGTACATCTACAACTCTTTGACTTTTGGAGCCAAAATAATATTATTAATGTGTATGTATTGTCACCATTGTATGTTCCCATACAAAGGCAAACTTGTCTCTCTGCATTTAACCCATCCACCACCAGGTGGTGTAGTGGGCAGCTATTGAAAGCACCCGGGGAGCATTTGGGGATGAGGTGTCCTGCTCAGAGACACCACGAGATGTGCAATGACTGGGGATCGAACCTGGGACTTTTGGATCTCGAGTCAGCTGCCCTGCCTCTATACCATCTTGGCCCAAATAAGTTTGTCATTAAAACTTTAGCCAACGCAAAATAATTTATAACTCATTAAATTGTACAAATACAATGCTAATGCTTGGTGTTTACAGCTGACAGTCATTCACAACACATACTTCAAGTGCTACACATTGTACAAGATCTTTGCTTAAAACTCCAGCGTTAACTGTTAGCTAAGTATCTAAGAAACACTAGACACGTTCCTGAAACTTTCAGAAAGTAATTACTATATGTACATCTACCAATAATAAACTTTTGTAGTCAAACTGAGGACTGGTACTAATTGACATTAGCTATTACTATATAATAATTAATAATTAATAATTAT